ACTGCCAGTGTATTATGTGTGCACACGTGTGTTTAACACTCATACCCGATTATGATTTCTTTGAGAACCGTCGATAATTTCTCGATAACTGCTGAAGTTAAAGAATTGCGAATTGTTACTAAGAGAAGCTGGCTCCATTGTTTTTATTGTGTGCGTTGTTTTAATGTAGAATTTTTCCTGATCCAAACGTATTAGGAGTCAATACTCTTATTATTTAAACTATACCAAACTTTCCAGCACAAGAGTGGTTGATACGAGCAGTGATGACACGTGCTGCAAGTTTTCTCAGTTTCTAGTTCAGTTTATTAGGTCCATTATATACTACAAAATCTTGGTTCAAACTTGAAATTGGGTACTGAATGGTTATCAGATGCATTGTGACCAGTTTATGGGGAACTAATTTGCTGATATATAATCACAAGATAGCCTTTTATTCGACTAATTATCCGAAACCCAGAGAACTTCAATATATAAGGTTCCACAGATTTTTTAGCTAGCCTTTTACGAGGTTAGATATTGCATCTTAGCGACATACTAACGTTTCGTAGGTTCGTCAATGTCATCAGTATCACACGCCCCATACTAAGGAGTAGCAGAGGGAAAGATTCCACAGTGTCTGTCAAGTGATTTGATACGTATTGCACTGTTTTCTTTGTGGCATCTGTGGCGTCTTTCTCCTCTGCTACCTTTGGGGTGTGCGATACTGATGAGATGGACGAAACAATCGAAACGCGCGTATATCGCTAAGATGCAATATGAAGCTCGTAAAAGACTAAATGAAGAAACTCTGTGGAACCATAAGATAGATGCAAAAAGTTGCTTTGTATCAGTGAATGACGCATTCCTTGCTGTGTTGTAGTCTTTTACACTGATAAACGAACGCCCACTTTCCGGCACTCACGCCACGGTGTTAACAGCTCGATTTCGTTTTCTTCAGCACATAATCGATGCTCCCGCAAGCTATGTAAGTTTTTAGTTTCCTCATGAGCAGTTCTGAAGATAAACAGCTTCTGGCTTTGACCTTCTGAAACAGAATAACCTAGGTAGCCCATGTGCAGATCTTCGCTCCTTCGAGAGTAAAAGATCGTGTGAACGAATCGGCATTCCACGATTAGCCGTTTAATCCGTATGAAAGGTCAAATGGAGACCTTTTTCACATCAAAAAGTATTCAAAAAATTTTGAACCCATATCATAGCATTCCAATACTGACATCATGGCGCCATAAAAATTTAAGTTGTTCAAAAAATAGTAGAGAACTTTCAATTTCATTCTTTCTGTATGTATTATAGTTTGTTGAAATTACGTCAACTTACCGAACTGTTTTTGCTTCGGTTGTAATAACGTTGCTGGTAAGACGCTTCGCTGGGAACTGCTTCGATGAAATCTACAGGTCAACAGGAGTGAAATAAACTCTTATTTTGTGTTTTTTTTATTCCGTAATAAGAATCAAAGTGCTGTTTCTGCAATACTTTTAGTGCTTGGGCCCTTTCAACACTCTGCTTTCTCGCATGAATGTCCTTTGGCTGATATGCTTTCAATTGTGTTAATGATTGCTGATGTAAGGAACTTGTAATCGACAGATAGCTTAACTAAGCTAAACTACCAGCTGAGAGTTACAGATGTCGTTGTGTAGTCTTTCGTAAACTATATCACGATTCCAATAAATGCCAATAATTTTGAGCTTCTCATTCTCATAGGCAACATGTAGAATTTTGAGAATAGTCTTGGTAAAGACAAGCGTTGCTTCTTTAGACGATAAGAGCCTTGTCGAGACCGATTACCTACAACTTTTCACTAACGATATGTCGAAGTTCCACGGAGAGCCACAAACGCAAACATTCCACCTGTCATCATTTGAGGGCAGGTTGCCATAGCTGCCTAAGAGAGTAGAATAGAGGTCATGAATGATGTTCATCATCGCTCCTTCTGTACATGCTACGTGCGTGCGAATATTTTTCCGTAACCAGTTTCATACGCATTTATATGCAGCACGTACATCTCCACACTTTTGTATTAGCTAGACAATTTCTAAAGAAAAGCGTTACTGGCAAACTATTTTTTCGCAAGACTTCTGCAAGGGTATTACATCTTCTTCAAAAGCGATCTTTGACGTTTCGGCCACTTTGCCTTTAGATCACGTATTGTGATACACTTTATCCAAATTGCAGCTAAGAATTCCTGAATCTAGTAAAAAGTTATCTCAACAATCGTGCAAATGTATCTCGTTGATTTCTAGTGTTATTGTAAACTTCAAGTTCACAGAAAATTGGCAAAGGTTTTGGGCAGCAATAATTAGCTAGAAGGCTGGAATGCCCTCAAAATTTATGATTTACTCACGATTTCGCTATATATGTATTGCTTTCTTCTGTTCTTTCTCAAAACAAAAGATCTGCTTAAATTCCTACTATTTGTAGAAGCTTGAAGTAACAACATTAATTGCTAAGAATGCTCCTTAGTCTACTTACTCCTGACTTGGTACATCGGTAGGGTCACCGGTCTTTAGAATGGCCAGATATGCATTCAGTCACCTCACCTCTGCGATACTAAAAATTGACCCTACTCATGGATTGTTTCTTGCTGACCGACAAGCGTAGAGAGCTTTGACCCTTATTTCTTCTGCCTAGTTATTTCGATCCCAGTGCCGTTATGTCCATAGTCGGCAAAGACTATGAGAACAGTAAATTTCTTCAGATCTTGTGCCTTGACGTCAATCGTTAGCTGTTTAAAAACTGATCTCCATAAGAAAATAATACATTAACGAAAGCACTGACATTGTACAATTTTGCAACACCACTTTCTCCGATGGACATCTTCGGTATCAAAGCGGCATGTGATAACTGGTCGTTCAGTCGATCATGTCTATTCCATGCTTCACGTTTGCATCAGGACCTCAGGAATAGGTTTTAGCCTTAACAGTACCCAAATTTTAGCAAAGATTCTTCCCATTAGCCATGCATATGTGGGATTTTAGAATTTCTTCTGTACTCAAGTGCTATGTAATGAAGAAAGTGTACTGTCATATCGGAGGTTGATTAAACTTAGTTGTTGTTCAAAAATGCTCATGGTAAACCTTCCAAGTTCCTCCGTGGGCTGATTTCTAAGTAGTCTCAGCTAGCTCAATGGACTTTTCCCGTCTTTAATCATTTCAAGAATTTACACTCAGTTTATCTCAGGCTCTGGTTGGATTGACATGCAGCATCCATTATGTGAACGGTCCAAAGGTCTATGTCATTTAACACTCTAACGACACGAGGTCTATCCCATTTGATCGGCTGTCTAGTCACATGATAAGTTGAAGGAAGTTTGTCTGCCTCAATAGCAGTATATATAACTTGAAACATGCGATTTACTAGATTTATTGGCAAAATTATATACAATCGAAATCCTATCCAGAAGGTACCTATGCCATCAATGACCTTAGAGAGAATCTAATCACGGTGCGGTGTTTTACATTCAATCCTAAAGCGACTGAAATTACCTATAATCAAAGGCAACTCCGTGGCGTAGATCTCTTGGTATTCCTTAGGTGGATAATTGTCCAGATGAAAACTGCTAAGAAAAATGCACTGTTTGAAAAGAGAAATGCCCAGCTAAGCAAGTATTTGCCTATATCAAGTTTTGTGAGAATGTAACCTGACTAAAGTTCCCGATGTTGTTTATCTTTCATAGACATGTCACAAAACATTTCTACCCCACTTGCAAAATTATGATGGCAGTAAGTGTCTACGTGACCTTGAACAAATACCTACGGAGCTGGTTGACTGTCATTTCCACATTCGGACTCATTTTCATACGTCTCTGTCACCTATTGATCGACCATAGGGTGTATGAGCCAGGGTTTGATTGAATAGAAAGTTACTTTTGGACCACTTTGGAAGTTACTCTTGGAACAACTACCCTCTCGAATTCCTTTGTTAGAAATTCCAATAAAATGGTACATTTTTTGCCTAATTGAGATGAGATTCTCACTTTTTCGCTGGATTCCCATCATTATGGAGACCATTTTTGGCATCGATTTATTTTCGGATGTAAATTTCAGACTCGTTCTTAGCTTCCAAATCCTCACTAGTGTGTAAAACTACCTTTTTTTGAATTTCAAATGAAATTGATTGAAGATTACTTGTCTGACTTCTACGGACAATGGTCTGAATTTTCATTGAGTTGGAGGAAAAGTTCTGTCGTATTTTCAAAATGAATTGGAGATATTAATCTGCACACAATTAAGCTCAAACAAATGACAAACTAATAGTCGGAGTTAGAGTTGTTTGCACGTTTACTGCAGAATGTACCAAATCGTCATAGGATCCCAATCAAACTTGTCAGCCAACATCCGAATACTCATCGAAGGATCTTCTTCAGTTCGATTGATGACTGCTCGGCGATCGACTTGTCGTGGACGTCCTCCTCGTGGGTTATCGGTCAATTGGTCCCCATCTTCACGAAATGCCCTGAGCCAACTCCTCAGCTGTACGAACATAGCAAGTTTCGTCACTATACGCCTTGCAGATTTGCCCATGAGCCGCAGAAGCGTTGACATCCAGTTTGAAGTGGAAGTGGAGTAACAAACGAATTTCTTCCTTGGGAAGTTCCATTCTGAATGCTGTGTAGATAAGCCATATATAGTTCGATGCGCAAAAAAACGGAACTTCTGATGAGCTCAATATCGCAGTAAACACACGTGCAAAGATGAATTTCTCAGGCAGTACTAAGGAACTTTTTCTATAGTCTGTTTAGGTATTTAGTCATAATTCTTTTTATTTAACTGCCACTTGCAGTGGTTTGATGTTATGGTGTACCCAATAATGTGGAGTACTGTGCAAAGATTGGCGTCAGCGGGATTCGAACTCAGATCTCACTCTTTTCGGTACCGTATGCTAACCGTTGCACCACCGACGCTCGTTTTGTATAGCACGCTTTTTTACGCTATAACGCGTTGTCTACCAAGAGCCGACTGTCGAGGTAACGCAATGTAGCGTAGAAAGAGCGATGGATAAAACGAGCGTTGGTGGTGCAACGGTTAGCATACGCTACTAGAGAGAGTGAGGTCTGGGTCGAATCCCGGCTGACGAGACGCTTTTGCACAGTTCCCCACATTATTGGGTATTTTCGGAACAGTAAAATAGGCCTTTTCCCAGAATTTCTGTCAAGTTCAAGTTAGCTTCATGCACACTGGTGTCAAACTGCACACAGATTAGCTTGGTTCAAACTATCTCACGAGCTGTCCTTATCCAAAGGCTTCACCGAAGTTCGTATATCCTATTATTATGACAATAAATTATCGATATATTCAAATAAATTTCTTTTTAACAGTTTTCAGCGGTGGTATGATGTTATAGTATACCCAGTGATGTAGAGTGATGTGTAAAACTAGCATCAGGTGAGACTGGAGTCCACATTTCACCCTGTATTATTACACCCTTCGTTTCGAGTGTTTTCTTAAGACCACAGCTTTTGAGCTGATCATTTCACTGGACATAGAGTGTAAAATGTTCGTCGTCGCTAACTATTAGTGATGGGGACTGGAGCTCCCACAGAGATTAGCAAAAGACGAGAAAGGGTAACTGCCCGACTGACGAGATCGCACGATCGAAACACGTGTATCGGGCTCTATAAGTCAGCCCTCATTGACAGACCACTGACATGCGTGGCTCAGATATTGATTATCAGGCATATTATTATATTATTTATTTACTCGACCAGCTTACACGTTATCACATTCTACTGTGTCGATCCATGTATTCCTAGCATTCAATCCCTGTTTCGTCTTCTTCTTGAAAGTCGTAGTATCTGGTTAAGCTGAAGCTGTCTCGTTGCAATCTTGAGGATTAACCTAGCTGTGGCTTTCCATAAGGCGTTCACTCGTGAATACTGGATAGTGTCAGGAGGTGGGGTTCGGTCCCATGCGCGCCGCGACGAACATCACAACCACTCGGCCACGGCGCCCTTATTATTACATCATAATATACTACTATTGTATTATATATGTTTTTACATACTACACATTATATCAACTATAGCATAGATTATTATTTCAATTTGATCTACTTGATTGGTTTGATTTTCTTATCGTTCTGGTCTTTCCTCCTTTGATCTACCGAATTTGATCCACGTCCATCAACCTGTGAATCATACCGATGCGTCACTAAAAATTGTCATTGAAAATTGGTGTGTTTGCAGACGAAGTCATTAATGCGGCGACACACAGGCCTAATCACGCCGAAAGTGCATATTCGCATTGGAACCGGAATTTCTCTAATGACAGCGTTCCGAGTTTCCCGACGATCGTATTTATTGTCCGTGATCTGTTGTGTCTTTTTCAATATCTATTACATATGAAACTGCTTGATGACGTCACTCTAAGAATCATTGACGAATTAAAAGTTCTGAACCGCCGATGTTCATTTATTGTTGAGGTCTTTCTAAGGAATCGCTGTACTCTCAAGAATGTCGTCTCGTTGTTAATCGCCAGGTCTATTCCTATACGAAATCGTATCTGTTCGTTTTTTGATGTGAAGCAAGAGAGCGAGGATTTATATCGATCGTCGGTCGACGAGAAGAGTGTCTGTCAACACACGAGTCGACGTAATGACCACTGGTGTTCATTCTTAGTGTTCGTTACGATTTTCAGGCCTCAGGCTCTAAGCCTAAGCCCAGGCCCTAGGCCTAAGCCCAAGCCCTAGGCCTAAGCCTTAGCCCTAGGCCTAAGCCAAGCTTAAGCCCAAGCCCAAGGCCTAAGCCCTAGCCCTAAACCTAAGCCCAAGCCTAAGCCGAAGCCTTAAGAAATTCAGAGGGCCACAACTCTCCACAGGGACCCGGCTTTCATATTTCATTCTCGTTTTTCTCCGTTTTTAGCTCTTTCTTCTCTTATGAGTTTTTCTTCGGCCTCAAGTTATCCTGCAGATAATTGGCAAGATTGATACGGCTTACAGGTAATGTGAAGCTGGTTGGATGATGACAGATAGATGTGTTGTAGCGTTCAAACAGTGATGGCAAAGCGGGCGTCACTAGTGCAACGGGTTAGAGAGCACGAGCTCCCGAATAGAGAGATGTGGGTTCTAGTCCCGCCTGACGCAGGAAGTTTTGCACATCACTCTACATCAGTGGATATATATATACATGTATATATATATATGTATATATATACATACATATATAACATCATACCGCCGTTAAAAGCGATGAGATAAAAAATTTCAATACTGAGCTATTTTCGTCTTCCGAACTCCGTAGGTTTTAGCTTTTTGATGACATTTGTTCACATTTTATCTCTAATTCGTTTAAATTTGGACTCCGTAGTAATCGACAGGTAGAACGAACCGATCTGTGTGAGATTTTTCTATATTCACTTGAAATATTGTGGGGGCTGTGGCCGACTGGCTAATGATGCTCGGCGTGGCTCGAGCTGGGATCGTTCCCACAGCCTCTCAAAATTGTTCGGCAGTCAATCACAAACGCCTATGTAACGCCCGTCCCCCGTCTGGTTATCCTGGATATCCCTAGGAGACGTGCTCGATTACTTTCCTATTAGTTTGGCAGGAAACTTTCGGGACTTTTTCTTTTTTTTTTACTATTTTTCATGCATTACAGTTGATTTTACTGTCGTTTAGAGCGTTCTTGCTGTTGTTTTGATATGTAACACTTCTGAATTTGTCAGAATTATTTTTATTTGACTGCCACTTGCAGTGGTATGATGTTATACATATACCCAATAATGTGGAGTGCTGTGCAAAAACATCTGCGTCAGCCGGGATTCGAACCCAGATCTCACTCTTTCCGGGAGCGTATGCTAACCGTTGCACCACTATGAGTGAGATGTGGGCTCGAATTCCGGCTGACACAAATGCTTTTGCACAGCACTCCACATTATTGGGTATACTTTTGATTAGTTTGAAAATGGGATTTTTGGTTCAAATGCTACTTTGGCACGCATCGATACTCGTGTAGAAGCAACAATCGTTTTCTCTCTCGGGATAATTCCATCTTAAAATAAATACATAAGTGTTGTATATGAAAATAACCTCAAGAAGCTGCTCTGAACAGTAGTAAGGACGAGAGCTCAAATTTTTGGAAATTGATTAAGAAAAACGAGGAAGTTCGGGAATTTCCTTGCCAACCCAATTTGATATTCATGAAGAAAATGAAATCCTTAAGCAAGTGACGAGGACAAATCGAATGTTTGAAGTACTGGGGCCCGCCATATGAAAAAAAATCGACTGTGGTACGGGTCAAATAAATCGATAAGATGAAGAGGTCAGAATGTTCGAGGATTTGGAAGAACATAAAGCCTTTGATAGTTGCATTGGTACAGCGATCAAGCCCTCTGTAGATCAAATAGGCGACATTTCTTTGGAGATTCGAGAATATGGACGTCTTTTGTATCACACCTCTGATCTCCCATTTGTGATCTACCTCGGTCATTCACTCCGCCCACTGATCATCAATAGTCGATTGTCGTACGCCCTACTGCGCCCTCGCTGCCCCCCACCGCTACAAAGGAGATCATCGCGGTTCGATACTCACCCACTAGGCCATGGACAGAACTTTCACCGCCGAGGAGTCAGAGTTTCCATTGTTGTTTATTTGTTGCCTAGGTTCCGCCGCTTGTGTTTCTTTATCATTTTGTTTTGTTTACTAATGAATGTTCGTTCTTTGGACATTATTTTAGAGATTGTCGAATGACGGTGGTGGTGCAAACGTCCACAGAGTTCTCTCTGTGTCTAATCGATATCAAGAAATATACAGTCTTTCAATCGCTGCTCTTCGGTAGATCAAAAATGCTAATAATATATTGTTCTTGAAAACTCGAAGCGAGTATATTTCGAGCGCTTAAATTAGTGGATTTATGCAAATTTAAGAAATCGTTGTTAAGTTGATATTTCGGCGGAACTTGATCCACAAAACTTGCTGTCATCTTGCGATTACTACGCGAAATCTGATCTGCAACGCCCACGCACTCGCCACGACTACTGTACAAATTTTGGCTCGCAACTCTTGCTTACACCTCAAAGAAATCTCGCCAAATTTGATCTACAACTCTTCCTGACGCCTCAAAACTGTTCGTAAGTTGATCCCCAAGCCTTCCTTTCCTATGGAGCTACTCTGATTAATTTGATCTACGGCCCTCTCCCATGTCTTAAGACCATTTCGCATAATTTGATCTACAACTCTTCCTGACACCTCAGAAACTATGCATAGATCGATACACAAGCCTTCCTTTCCCATAGAAGCTACTCTGAGCAATTTGATCTACAGCCCTCTCCTATGTGTTGAGACCATCTCGCATAATTTGATCTAAAACTCTTCCTGCCACCTCAAAACTATGCATAGATCGATCCACAATCCTTCCTTTTCGCTTGGAACTTCTCCGAGTGATTTGATCTACAGCCCTCTCCATGTCTTAAGACCATTTCGCATAATTCGATCTACGACTCTTCCTGACACCTCAAAACTATTCATAGATTGGTCCACAAGCCTTCCTTTTCCCATGAAGCTACTCTGAGTAATTCGATCTACAGCCCTCTCCTATGTGTTAGGACTATTTCGCATAATTTGATCTACAACTCTTCCTGACACCTCAGAACTATGCATAGATCGATACACAAGCCTTCCTTTTCGCTTGGAACTACTCCGAGTAATTTGATCTACAGCACTCTCCTATGTCTTAAGACCATTTCGCATAATTCGATCTACAACTCTTCCTGACACCTCAAAACTATTCATAGATTGATCCAAAAGCCTTCCTTTTCCTTGAAGCTACTCTGAGTAATTTGATCTACAGCCCTCTCCTATGCCTTAGGGCCGCTTCGCATGATTTGATCTACAGCTCTTCTACACCTTGAGGCCACCGCTTATTATGATGAGCATCTTTTTTTTATACCTCAAAACTACTCAACATAATTCGACCTACCAGTCCTTTCTCTAGATCATAAAGTACTTTCGCATAATTTGATCTACAAATCTCACTTTGACCTTGCAAATACTGCACGGAATTAGATTTACAATATCTTTCACTCCTCGCGCCTGCTATGCAAATTTTGATCTACAACTCTTGCATCTTAGCTTACTCTACA